GTGAGATTGCTAATGTCAGAGCACGAGGGCCAGACAATGATGTGATGCAGGGGGGCATCCAGAGTCCCCAGGGAGGGAGGCCCGAGGTTCACCTGCAGGGGAGGGGGCCTCTTCCACTGCAGACTGACACATAACAAAGGTCAGGATGCAGATGACTCTCAGCTGGGGCTAGGACAGGGATTCCAGTGTGCCCACTCGGCGGATTGGTCCCATTCTCTCTGCAGACCAGGAAGTGGGGGCTTCTGAGGAGGGTGGTGGGTTGGGCTTGAGAGAGGACTTGAGAAGGCTGCGGTGGCGACTGGTAGAAGGACATGGTGGCAGGTGCAACACTCAGAAGCATTGCTGGAGTGGGGCTGGGGCAGGGAGAGGATAAGAGGCTCACAGCTCCTGGGGCTGGTAGGAGAAAGATTAAGTACACATGGGTCCAGGCTCAGAGCTGCACACGATACGCATCCTTGTTTCACGAGATGTTCCCCTAGAAGCAGCACCACCAGCACTAAGCAAACCCTGGAGTCTGCTTGGATCATGCCCTTGGCAGTCTGAATATGGTGGTTACACGTCACAACATAGGGAACCATTGGTAGTCAGTAGCTGGTGTAGAATCTGGACATCCCCCAGGGTCCTGCGTCTTCCTACCTCTGGTGGTGTGTCTTTAAAAAAAATGCGGACCATCCACAGACTTGGAAGTGTAAGTAGCTAAAAAAAAGTTCAGGTTCCTGCTCTGTGCTTGATCTTGTATACACCCAGAAATTCTGAGAGATAACTGGGGCCTGATCCAACAGGTTGTGCCTTCTCTTTCCTTTAACAGGGATTTGTTGCAGACCACCCAAGATGGTGAGCCACCCTCTTAGATGCTGGGGATTAAAAAACCCTAATAAGACCTGGTCCTTGTATTTGGTGAACTTTCAGTTATAAGGAAGATAGTTTTGCAAAAAAATATTGGAAAACAGTGTAATAAGAGCTATTACAGGGTCATGAACAAAGGGGCAGTGATGAGGAAAAAGGGTGCCCTGTACTTGGGGTGAGAGATTAGGGTCATGAGGAAGCCTTTTGTTGAGTAGGTCTTTTAATAGCTTCTCACATCACATATGATTCCCTAGGTTGGCCTTAAAAATCCAACCACCTTTATTCAGATGAGGACCCAAGGCATTTTGTCCTTGGAGTATACATGGGTTCTCTAGTTATACCCCCTAACTACTAATTCCTATCAAAAGCAGGAAAAAGGCAGAAGAATTGGCAAGAAGGTGCACACATGAGTATACTCCTCCCAAATACTTAACTACGAAGGCAGAAATCCTCCCTAAAATAAAATGAAGTTCTTAAATGCTTACATTATTTCAGATTACACTGGGAGGGATCTAGTTGCTGTCAACTGAATTGGATTAGGGCCAAACAGCAGCTAATCTCTTTAATGGGGAGATCCAAAAATACACACAGACACTTGCCTCTGTATTTCTAAGCAGATCAGAAAGGTAACCGGTCTAGCAATTCTGTAGACTGACTTCAGGATGCTCTAGGTTGCTTCTACTTTTTGCAATCAACTCAGGAAAATTTGCAAAAAAGCCAAATAATTTGATTTATTAAATAAAACAAAACGGAACAAAACAGAGTGATAATGACATGTCCATTGATTCATGTATCTTTCCCTTAGAATTGTTTTTATACATTTCTTGGGTGTCCTTTCCCATCATCTAGACTTTGGGTTACCATTTGAATACAATAATGAAGAAAATACTGGAGTTTAAAAAGTTCAGGCTACTTCACATGGGCGTTTCTTCTAAGGAAATACCTGGACAGTGTGTACAGTAACAACATATTGGAAATACCCTAAATATCAAGAGTAGGTGATTGGTCAGATAAACACTGGTATACCCACAGGAACAGGCATTACTGTTATGACACAGTGGTAGAGCTACAATTGAGAACCAGTTCTGTCTGATACCGGACTGCTCTTTACCCCAAGCCATACTGCCTTCCATATGAAAAAAATAAAAGGCATTTCCCAGTCACCTCATAAGGGCTAGTTTTGTCCACAAATAGGGCAACAAATTTGGAGAAGCAGCTTCTGCAAAGCAGTTTATATCATCAAGGTGAATGGATACTTTAAAATTTAATAATAATGAAAGTTAACACTCAGGGTGTGCTAAATTCCAAATAATGTGTAAAGGTTTAAAATCACCTTCCCATTTAATCTTCTCTAACCCTGGAGGCGGGACTCTGGTATTTTATGAATAGTGGGGTGGGCTTGGGTTTGCTTCACCATTAGGAACCCCTCCCCCATTTTGCTTTCCAAAGTTAGGGGTGTTCACTTTTCTGTCTTCAAACACACTACTTGTAATTTTGAAAGATCTTCCTGCTGTAGGTAGTACAGTTAGGTGGCCTGCTCCAGAAATGTAACTGAAGTAGTGAATGTTTTAATGGTCCACAGAAAAAATTTTCAACTAAATCAACAAATTGTATAATTGCTATATATGAGACTTTCAAAAAAAATCATAAATTAATATAGTTTATTAAAATTAAAAATCCTTGGATAAAATACAGTTTTTCAAAATATTATTGATTTAAAAGTTATCCGGAGTGTTCTGGCAATTTTGATAAACTACTTTCTTCTCTTAAGTAGATTTTGTACACATATGAATAAATGTGTACTTTACTATATATGCCTAATTTGGGGTTCTTTTAGTAAGGTTGAAAATGTATTGTCTTTGTGGTAAAAATACCCAGGGTGGTGGAGAAAGTGGCTGGCCAGAGATGTGAACTTTGAGGTCTCCGGAGCCTCTGTTGTTACAGGGTGCTGGGCAGGGGTGAGGGGTGGGGTGGTGGTGGTTGGGTGGTCACTAGGTGCATTTCTAAAGGAGGAAAATGATCAGCGTTGGTTTGCAGTTGGATTAGTCAGAACTACCAGTTTTTATTTGGAGAAGACTGTTCCAAAAGTTTATCTTTAAAGGGAAATTCACTTTTGGACTTAAATTTCTAAGAAGGAAAGGAGGAAGTGGTGTACTGGGAGAATACAGCCTGAATTCCGTTGCTTAGTGACTGGGCAGTTGAGGACCAAGGAACTGGGCAGTGCTCCTTTCCAGGGCTGCAATCACCCAAAGGACCCCAGCCCCATCCATGGGGAACCCTGTCACTGCCCGCCAAGGTTCTCACTTTAATACCAGAGCTTTAACTGGCTGGGAGGAAAGGTGGGGTAGCAAGCCCAATCCTGCCCTGGGAGGTGGGCACTTCAACTTGTAAATCCCCTGACTTCATTTAACAGTCCTCTGGAGATGCTAAAACAGCTGTCAACCTCGAAAGGGGGAAATTCCCAGTGGGAATTTACATAAATGTGGCCAGTCACAGAAACAAGTATAAAAAGAAAACCATGATCTGGGCTATATTTATCTTTGGAAAGAAAGCCCCAAGTACAGAAGGAAGCCAGTGGTCCAAGTTCACTTCCAGCTCAGGGTGCGCTCAGGCATGGACATATTTTCACCAGAAATCTCTGCCCTCCCGAGCCCTGCGGATGCCAGGTTCTGGCCGGCCCAGGGGACACCGGAGGCTCCAGTGACCATCACGCTAGGCTAGCCGGCCCAGAGTCGAGTAAAGCCTGAGGCTGAAGACGCCTCGCAGTTCACTTCACTGCTACACCCAATCCCCACCCACCTTGGGTAATTTTTTTTTTTATCATGTTTTCCTCTGTGCCCCCCAGCTTGCCCACCAGGCCTGGATTCTTCCAGTTTGTCCCCAGAGGGCCCGTTTTGTTCACCTCCGGGTCCCCAGGGTGAGCAGCTGGTGGGTATGCTATTAAGAGCGGTGGGGAACAAGGAAGGCAAGAGAAAGGGGACAGAGAGGGGTGGTATTTGCCCTGTGGTCCCCTCATCGCCCCTGACGTACTTGTGATGTTTCCTGACAAAGATGCAGCACCCCCAGTCCAGGCTCGGGGTGTACCCTCACCACCGCGCCTCCACCCACCTTTACACGAGGATTTGGCTTGGAGGTCGGGAGTTCCGCGCGGCAAACCCCACCCCCAGCACCCGGACACACCTGGAGAAGCCAAGCTCCAGCCAGGGGGCACCGTGGAGTTAGCTCCCTGTTGTAGCCTCAGCGGCTAATCCTTTCGACTTCCAGTTCCAAGCGCGGTGACACTGGGCAGGGGTGGGGGAGGAGGAACACTTCACAGCTCTGGCCTGGAGCAGACTCGTCACACGCAGACCCCCCTCCCCCCCAGGCTAGTGGACGAGTCTCCGGTGTCGATCTTTGAGGAGCAATGTGCAAACCACAATTGGTCCGGGTTCTGCGTGACTTGGGAACTCTGCGGACCTTCTTCTCCGAGTTGGATTTCACCGTGGCAGCCCGGGGCTCCCGGTTCAGAGCGGCATGGTCCGCTGCGCAGCTGCGGCCCGGGGCCCCCACGGTGGACGTCACCTCCCCCGCAACGACGTGTCCTCGGTGCCCAGTGTGACCCCGAGATTCCTCGGTCTTAAGCCATTAATGGAGATGGCCCCGAAGCCTAGACTCTGGGTGAGGTGACAAATGAGTTGGATTCCTCCGACGCTGAGAAACTTCCCCACCCTCTCCCGAAGGCCAGACTCCCTGGGCGGCGCTGGGCCCGAGGTTTGGATGTTCCTGACGCGCAACGCAGGCTCAGCCCGTGGCGACCCTCGACCTCCACTTTCGTCGTCGCCCCAATGGCCGATGGAGGGGAGGGGAGCGCGGGGCCGCTCACCGCCCGCGACACTCGCGTTCAGGTTGTTCAGTTATTGCTTCTGGTTCTGAGAGTGCCTTGCTCAGTTCCGGGGCAAAGCACCGATTGGTTGATCTGTTCCCGCGGTGCCGAGCAGCCTCTTCTTAATTCTTAACTTTGGTCAGGAACGGTCCGCGAGGCGGGGACGCGGGGAGCGCGCCTTCCCCCCACCCCCACCCCACCGCGCGGCTGCCCCTCCCGCCTCCGGCCGGGTCCCCGCCCGCGTCCGCCCGCGGCGCTTGGAAAGCCCCCGCGCTCCTCCCACCCGGAGGGGCTCTCTCCAGCCTCCAGTGCCTTGAGTCTGCCGGCGCAGCCGCCTGGCGCTCGTTTTCCCCCGGCTGGAGTGCGTACAGCCCTGCTTTTCTGGAGCCGCAGGGAACAAGGGACGGTGACCTCGGTGCGCTCCACGCGTCCCCGTCCCCCGGCCCACGCCCCGTCCCCGGCCCGAGCCCGGGCCGACAGCATGGTGCTGCTGGTCGGGCCCGGGCCGGAGGGCGGTGGGGCGCTCTGCGTGTCTCCGCAGCCGCCGTCTCCACCTCGGGACGCCAAGGCCGGGGAGGACCCCGCTGACTACGAGGAGTACGAAGACTTCTCGCGTCTGCCCGACACCCGCAGCATCGCCTCGGACGACTCTTTCTATCCTACCCTAAGCGAGGAGGAGTACGGCGCCGGGAGCGCGGAGAGCGTCCGGGAGGGCGTCCCGGAGGGCGTCCCGGAGGCGGCGACCCTCCTGCGCGCCGCCTGCGCCAACGACGTGGGGCTACTGAAGGCGCTGGTGCGGCGGGGACCGCGCGTTGAGGAGGTGCAGGAGACCGACCCCAACGGCCGGGTAAGCAGGTGTCTCCGCAGCGTTCGGGTCCGCTCCACCCTCCCTCCCATTCCCCACACCATTCGAATCCTGACTCTGTTCAGGTTCCGCGGAGGCTTCACCACTGTAACAAGCGGCTTTTCCTCGCTCTCTGGGCGTGAGGCTCGCGTGGAGGCTTGCGTGGTCTGCCCGTCCGGGGCTGGGGGAGTTTGATTTGTCCTAGGTCACAACCCTGCGGGAGAGACACCTAGTCTCGTGTCTTCACCCGACTGGGTGCGTTCTTGTTTCCCGCCCCCGGGGTCCTCTGGTCCCTGATTTCCTCCTGGGGCCCGCACCGGGATCCGGTTCGGAAGCCCCTCGTTGGGTTTCTTTAACCTGGGCCCCCTCTGACCATTGCTTTCCTCGCCTGTAGGGGGCAACCCCTTCCTCCCAGTGCTCCAGTTGCCCCACCTCAGTCTCTCGCGCTGCCCCCGCCCTTTTCCTTCCATTCCCGAGAGTGGATCGGTTCCTTCGGGCCATCCGGGTTCGGAGTTTCTTCCCAGATCGCCTGCTTACTGTCCCTATCCCACGCCCCACTTTGCCTGGTAACCCGCGCGGCGACCGGTCAAACGTGATCTCCGACTTGGTGTCCCCAGGGTCACCACCGCGAGCCATTGCCATCTCCTTCTCTCGGCACCTCTCGCTCCCCCCTGGGCCTGGGGACCGGTACCCACCTGGTAGGGTAGGCGGGGTTGGGAGTGGAAAGAGAGGCACACAGTATCTCTCGGTTAGTAGTCTCAAGACTCACAACAGGCAAGAAATGTTTAGAAAAGGAAAGAAAAAGTTGGCTCACAAAGACCTGAGGACTGGCTCGCTGAACACCACCCACCAAGTTGGAGGGAAAAACCACAGGGTTACCACCGTGGCCAAGTGCCCGATAGTTTGTGCTGTGTGGACAAGCAGCAGTCTCAGCTGATTGTCACATTCCTCAGGTCCCGAGAGATATCTGCAGTCTCAGGCTAGCACAAATCAGAAACACAAGTGCTTTTGCCCAGGAGCCCACAGCTGACAGATCTGTGCCTTTACTTGGGAACTGGCAGGACCCTGAGCCTTTGGTTTATCTCAGGGGGCAGGGAGGTTTGTCTCTGACTGTGGTCTGGGCTGGGCTTTAGTGTGGAGGAACTGGGAGAGCCACAGGTCTGTGTCTAACTTGAGCTTGGGGAAGGGTCTGTGATTGTAATGTGTCAGGCAACACAGGCCCCGAGTTTCCTGGGGCTGGAGGGGCTATGGTGAGGCCTTACTGGCAGCATCACCCTGGCCCTGCTGGGACACAGGGCAGTGCCCACACCTCGGCCCTCCCTCGGCCCTCCCTGGCCGTGACTGGGGTTTTGAGTTTCTATTTCTCCAGCTCTATTTTCACTTTTTCAAGGTGAATTTTCACATACAAATGTTTATATCAGAGACTTCTTTCATGAAGCCCACAGAATGGAGTAGGAGAACATGAGTGGAGTAGGTCTTTCCCATGTCCTGGGCAGCCCTGGGTCTCCAGGGGCTGGGGTGGGCAGCACTGGCAGGCTTGGCTCACTCAGCCCCCACCGTAGGCTCCACTGGGCTCAGATTTATGATATTTCCTTTGGGGATGAAAAAATAAAAGTTTGAAAACAGCTGCATCAGAGCCAACTGAGAATAACGGAAACCATCCCCAGGGGGCTTGGGGCTCACAGATCTAGTTTCTGGGCAACTTTGAAAGCCCCAGCATAGAGTCAGGAGAGAGCAATGGAAAGGAGAGGCTGCCTCCAGCCTCTCTGAGGCTCTCTGCCTGTTTTTTCCTGTAAATAGTGCAAAGGATAGCTCATCCGTCCTGGGGCTGTGAGTATGAAGTGCCCTAACACACAGTACTCAGACATGGCCCTTGTTTACTATCTTGTCCTGTTTCTCATGCACTTCCCTTCTCCTTGCTTGGAAAAGTGCACCGTCTACCTTGTTTTCTCTCCTGCAAGGCAAAGCTTTTTCTCTTGGCTCTTCTTCTTGGTTGAGAGCCCTTTGTTTCTCTGCTTTGTGCCTCCTCCTCTTTGCTCCCCACCAAATCGGGCTTTTCCCATGACTTCTAGGTGCTGTTGCTCAGTCTCCGTCTCCCTGAAAAAAACAAAAACAAACAAACAAAAAAAACCCAGAAAGAATAAAATGTCTTAAAGTACAAATGGAATAGTGAGTCACTGCATAGGTGTTCACTGCAGACCTACTGTGTGCAAGGCACTGGTTAGGTACCTTAGGAGATTTGAAGATGAGCCTGTCTCTGCCTTGGAGCGTCTTAACCTTTTAATTAAGGAGAGAAGAGCTCAGAGAGTTCCAGATCACAGTTGGAGACAAACCTCCCTGCCCCCTGAGATAAACCAAAGGCTCAGGGTCCCACCAGTTGCCAAGTAAAAGCACATATCTTCTGTCAGCTGTGCCCAGTCCAGAGGCAGGATGGGGAAGATGTGGGACTAGTGGCTTGGATGCAGGGAGCTGAGAACAGTCCTGGAAGCCGTGGCAGGCATGTGCAGTGTGCTTGGTCGTGGCATGGCACTGAGCAGGGAATGTGGGATCTTAAATTGGAAAGGCTGAACTGGGCCAGGTGGTGAGGGGCTGGCCTAGAATAGCTGGCTAAGAAATAGGAAGTTGGGAAACAAACTGGATTCAGCATGCCAGTGTCCAACCTTGGGGCCACATGAGTGGCTCACTCACTGCCTTCAGGTTCTTAACATAAGGTCACCTTCTTAGGGAGGTCTTTCCTCCTGCCCTATCTAAGCCAGCAGCACCTGGAGCTGGGTAACCGTACAGGAGTTTAGGGATTGAGGGTGGTTATTTGAGATATTAGGTGGCATTTCAGTAAAGATGTAGAGAAGATATCTGGGGGGAGAGCACACTCTAGGAAGAGGAATGGCAAGTGCAAAGTCCCTGAGGCAAGAGCCCTTTGGGCCTGGTCCACACATTACCATGATTAGTGACAGTAAAAACCTCACATAAAGCCATAGAGCTTTGGTGGAGTAGAGAGGTAGGTAGTTGCATTAACTACAGAATGAACAGCTCACAGGTGCAGCTCACAGCCAGCTTCCTGGAAGAAAAATGAGTCTAAAGGCTTTGAGAGTTTTTCTGAGCTGTGTTTGTGAACTGCTTGTCTCTGGTCAGTTTAGAAGGGAGCTCTGCCTGAGCTGACAGATGTTTCACTGGGTTTGAGTAACTAAGAATCACATGTGTTTCGTTTAAGAAAATATGTTCTTTCCTTCTCCTGCAATTGGTAGACTATTGGCTGCGGCTCAGCACACAATTTTGCTTCTAAAATATTTATTGCTCTAAAAGGACTGCATAATTTAATATGCAACATGTAAATATTTGTCAAATAATTCTCTAGTAACAGTTAAAGTATGCTCTCGCTGTCTTTTAGATTTATGGTTGTTTTGTTCCCTTTGAATTAGGGACGGTGAAAGCTGCCATAATTCTTTTTCTTAATTCTTCTCATCTTATTATGTCTGGAGGTTCACCTTTACGGTGGTGACTCTGGAGATGCACTGCAACCTAAGGAAATGTTTGTGCTGTCTTCATCGTTCAGAAGGACAGTTGGAATGTCAGACAGCTCTTGAGCCAAATTAGACCCGATTATGCTAAATTTAAAACATTGCACGCCTTTCTTGATGTAATTCTTCTCAGGCACGTTTAGATTCCATGGTCTCTGTGACATTTTTCAAAGGCCCCTCGACTAGCAAAACCCATCACACATCCAATGTGGGGGTGTCTCCCTTTACTCTTGAGGGGCTTCAATGTTTTGTTGGTTTGTAGTGGTGATTGGGACCTTTATCTTGACAGATATGTGAGAAATTTTGTTGTTGGTGGTGGTTTTTCGAAGGCTATAGAAGATATATAAACTCTGGACTCACCTTTTCCTCAAATGAGAAACCAAGTTGTTTGGGGTGCATGCCCAGCCCTTCTGCATTTGCCAGGACTCAGTATTGACGGCCTGCATGTGCACTAGTTAGTAGAGAAAGTGGGTTCTGGCCTTACACCGCCATACATATGCTGAGGGCCATCAAGCACGGAGAAAGGGTGAGGACTCTGGGGCCCAAGGGCCTGGTGCAGAGAAGTGTGTCAGCTGCAGTGAGCCTGGAAAACCTGGGCTTGTGGGGGGCAGGCTGGCAGATGTCTGCCTCTTCCTCCTCCACGGACCGTGGCGGGGATGCTCCGGGCCCAGTAGCAGTGGAAAGGCCCATGTGTTTTTTTGTTTTTGTTTTTTTAAGGACCTAATTTTTTTTAGAGCAGTTTTAGGTTCACAACAAAACAGGGGAAAGTACACAGATTTCCCATCCCACTTCCCCCATACATGCACAGCTTCCCCCATTTTCAACATACTCACCAGACTGGTAGATTTGTTACAATCAGTGAATCTACACTGACACATTATTGGCACCTGAAGTCCTTAGTTTGCATTGTGCTTCACTCTTGGCGTTGTACATTCCATGGGTCTGGACAAATGTATAATCTTTGTTCATCATTATATCATAAAAAGTATCCCATGTGTTTTCATATAAGTGTATCAGTTATCTTTGGCCACCAGCATTGCTGCATAACAAATAACTGAAATCTCACAAATGTGTGTAACAGCAAACATTTTGCTAAGGGTGACCCAGATCAGCAGATCCTGGCTGGACTTGCCCTCAGCTGGGATCAGCTGCGGATGGCAGGACCAGGAAGGGTTTGGCTGGGATCGCTGTTCCCGTGTGGTCCTTCATCCTCCAGCAAACTCTCCATGACAGGAGCAGAGTTCTAAGACAGCAGCAAGTAGAGCCAATAAGGTTCAGTGTCACATCTGCTGAAGCAAGTTACAAGGCCAAGCTCAGATGTATCCTCTTAAGTGTGAATTTGCTTTTGTTTATGTAAGATGTTATTCACTAACCTTAAGTGCTTATTTACTTATTTTAAATTTATTTTTATTAAGGAAAATTTTAGATAGGTACTTGAGTAGGAGGTACCAAGTTCTCTCTTATTCTGATCATTCAGTATCAACA